TCAAATTGATATCATATATAATGATCTCTTTCTTATTCATTCTCATGTGCAATTCACTGACCAAAACACTTGAATTACTTCATCTCCTATAATTGAACAATTCCAATATGAAAAAACTGCTAGAAACATACCTAAAGTAAAAATTAACCCAATCATATGAATGATACTCAAGCTATTTCAAGGCATTCTCAGAGAATTAGAAAACCTCCTTCATACTTAAGAGATTACCGTTGCATGTTGACAAATTCTAGCACCATATCATCAAGTAATTCTATTAGATATTCTCTTTCATAATTTCTTTCTTATAATTTTCTATTTTCTCCTTACAAACACTACTCCTTAGCTCTTTCTACTGATGCTGAACCAGAATCCTACCAAGAGGCTATTATGCATGATTGTGGAAAGTTGCAATCCAGGCAAAATTGACAGCTTTGGACATAAACTAAACTTGGATTCTTACTTCTCTTCTTGATGGGAAAAGAACAATAGGGTGCAAATGAGAGTTTAAAGTGAAAAACATAGCAAATGGAAATGTCGAAAGACACAAAGCTTGGCTGGTAGGTAAAAGATACATCTAGACAACTGAAATTGATTATCTAAACACTTTCAGTCCAATTGTAAAAATGATAATCATCCAGGCTACTTCTTGCTTTAGCTTCTACTTAGAACTAATATTTACAACAACCTGACATAGATTTAACTTTTCTTCATAAAGAGCTATCTAAAGAGGTATATATAAAGTCTCATCCTAGTTTTATACTCTTATATCCTAATTTGGTATACAAATGTCAAAATCACTATATGACTTGAAACCAAGCCAACATACAATGGAACCTGAAGCTGATAGAAACATTGATTGAATCAGGATATTTTCAATCTAAATCTAATTATTCTTAGGTATACTACGAAAACACGTATAGGGATTACTGTTATTCTAACATATGTAGATGATCTCATTGTTGGAGGGACTGATATTACAGAAATTGATAATATCAAACAAACTTTGTACTCTAAATTTGGGATTAAAGACCTAAGCAATTTGAAGTTTTTTCTTGGTTTTGAGGTGGCTAGGTCAGCCAAAAGCATTTGTTTGTACCAAAAAATATGCCTTGAATTTGCTACGGGATATGGGTTTATTAGCTTCTAAACCTACTTCTACACCTATGGATCATTCATTGCAAGGGCATGATGAATCAAGTTCTCCTCATCCTGATATTACTGCTTATAGAAGATTGATAAGCATATTCATCTACATAACTAATACTAAACTTGATATTAGTTTTGTTGTTAACAAACTAAGTCAGTATCTAGGTTGTGCTACAAATGTACACTACCGGGTAGCTTTAAGGATACTCAGATACTGCATAAGAGTTTTTTTTTTTTCCTTTCCTAATTAAATCTTTCCCTTACTTATTACATAGATTGAAACTAAGATCAGTCACTCGTTTTTGTTTTTTCCTTGACACTTCTTTGATCCCTTGAAAAGTAAAAAACAATCAATCATTTCAAGGTCATCATCATAAGCATAATATAGAGTCATGGCTCTTGCTAGTTGTGAGGTCCAGTGGTTAGTTTATGTGCTCAAAGACTTAAGAATTTTTCAATCCAAGCCCATGGCTCTTTTTTGTGACAACAAATCAACCATGCACATTGTCAACCATTAGACTTTCATGAGAGGAATAAACATATAAAATGAACCGCCATATTATAAGAGAAAATATTTAATCTAACTCCAAAAAGCAAATTGTTGATATATTAAACCAAAACTTTAGCTCCTATCCTTTTCACTATTTGATTTCCAAGCTTTGAATGTTGGATATTCACATTTTAACTTGATGGAGGATGTTATTGGTTATGTACAAAGCCTATTTATAACTTAATTAGTTGAACAATTAGTTAGAAACTTCTAAAAATTAATTAATTAATATTTTTTTCTTTTAATCTTTTTCTTTCTGTGTATCTAATTGTCTATATAAAAGGTATTGTATGTACATACAAATTGAAATAATAATTAACATTTGTTTATAACTTATTTGCATATTTTTTCTTTCAATTTAATATATTTTTTTTCTTAAGCATGGCCATGTTATTTGATAATTAATTTTAAAAAAAAATATATGAGAGGTTAAAATTACATAGCCGAAACATGACCTAAACTAAAGGGGAAAAAAATAAAATACAGCTAAACCAAAATTACCTTTATCACTGAATAGAGACTTAGCCAAGGGATTATGTGGATAATGTCTTGGAATTACTATTCAGCAATTTTTTATTTTTTATTTTATAGAGATTGACATTCAATGTCATGTTCGATAACAAATAAAAGGGTGTACAAAATTCAATACTTACCTAGTAAAGAAAGAAAAAACGATTGATCGATGGGTTGAACATTTATCTTTATATATATATATAAAGTCAAAAGATAAAAATTCAAGAAGAGCAAAAATCTATTTTTTTGCCATAAAAATTAGAAAAAAATAATACAACTAGTGCGTTCAATACAACCAAATTACGTTTAAGGTTGCTTCAAATTCTGAAATTGATCTTAACAAATAAAAATGATTGCCATAAATTACTGGTTGAATGGCCTTAATAAAAAGTTTAATCAGGATAGGATAGTGTTGGTAATATCTCTTACATGTTTTACTGGCACTCTTTATAGTAATGACGTACCAGCATGATCACTAATAAAAACTACGAAACAAATAGATCAAAGGATAAGTGTCGATAATGCTTTTCTGCAAAAATACAAAAGAAATAATATTAAACTTTTCAGTTTACTTACAATAAATATGAAAAGCATTCATTTTTACCTTTATAGTTGAGTTTAAACAATCAATAATAGTAATAATAATAATAAAAAAATATTTACTACACTTTTGCCTTTTTAATATAATAAAAGTTTTTTCTCCTAATTAAAAAATCTTGAATTATCCAAAAATTCTGTGTAGCCACTGTTACATTTGCAACACAGTTTTACAAAGGCCTTTTTCTTCAACTCTCTTGCAAATCAATCAATTTTATTGGCTTTTGTTCTTATATTTATTATTTTCCATTTTCCTCGAAAGAATCACATCATCCTTATTCCATACTAGTCTTCACTTTAATTTGATTCATGAATAGGGAAAATTGAAGTGTGATGCATTTGTATCCCACTCTATGCTGAATGGTGGCAATATTCAGAATTGGTGATGAGATAACGTACATTAGTGGGGGGCTGCCAAGCCAACTACATGCAATCAAAATTTCTATTACCTTTCATTTCAACCACTTAAAGATGCCAACCAAACTGGACTCTCCCCAATTAATGATTGCTAAATACACTAAATGCAAATCAGCCCCACTTTCCCCTTCTGCCAATAAAATTTCAATGTTTGAATAAATAATCTTTTTAATACGTAAAATATTATAATAAAAAGTTATATATAATATTTTTATTTATAAGTTTTATAATTTAATATATGAATATTATTAAATAATATAAGTTTTAATAAATATTTATTTTTTATTTTATACAATATTACACGTGTTAAAAAAAATCAATTACGGTGTGCTATTATCCATCACTTTCATTTTCTTATTGATCGTTTCACAGTCCAACTGTTCCTACAATATACCACTTGGAAGGTGATCATTATCCTCACCATCTTCCTGGAAATTAATATTTTGTTTCAACAAAAATGTGATGCATTGTTTTTTCAGTATATACATTGTAGTTAAACAATTAAAATCTAGAATCACACCTTTTTTTCATTTAAATCGTTTACAATTTACCAAGTGGTAGCATTTCAGCATTATTAGACTTACAAACTGTTCTTTCTTCTTCTTCTTTTTTTGTTGTTCATTAAGAACCTAGTAAGTTTTTTACCCTCTGATGCAGTATCTAATAATTCTCACAGTATGACTCTAAACGCTAAGACAAACATACACGAATATATTTGATTAAGTTTTTAAACTTTTAATTTTTAAAACGAAAATTTGAGTAACTTTAAAAGAAAATTTGAAAAAAATAATAATAAAAAGTTTAAATTCTATAAAATTTAATTGAAAAAATTTTACTTTGAAAGAGAGAAAAATTTATAAAACCCGGAGCGAAATATTGTTAATATCAAGTGTATACGACTAATATACAATTTTTTGGGTAAGAAATACATTTTCAAGTTATATTTGCTAACATTAATTACACTTATTGTTTTCTCAATATAGTACCAATAATTTTCAGGACTCTCATATTTGACATAAGATAATTATTACTTTATTGTCCAAACTCTTATTAATTCAAATGTTTCAATTCAAAAGTGTACCATAAGTAAATAAAATATTTTTTTAATCTTAATTTTTAAAACTGAGTTAAAATTTTAAAATTAATATTTTTATTAAAAAATATTATATGTCAATAACTCTAGTATAATACTTATTTACTATTTTAATAAAATTTTACTAATTTTGTTGCTAAAAAGATTGCTAAGATGAGTGGTAATTACAATGTTTACTTCACTTTTTTTTAATAATTCTTCTACTGAGATTAGTTTTTTTTTTCTTATACAGTGATTTATTTTAGATTTTAGTCTATTTTTTTTTCTTTCAGTAAAAAAAAATCCTCAGTCCCAATAGTTAGTTAGAGTTGAGGTTAAATAAACAGAATAAAAAATAGCATTTTAGTTAGGCAAAGACTAGCAAGGTGTGAGTACTTGAATATATTTCCGAATAAACTATGTGGCCATTGTCTTGTTTCTCTTATATTTTATTACTTCCCAAAGGACCTTCTGTATCTAAGGAACCGAAACCGAACCAAACTGAATCTAGTACAGTAAGCGGCAACCAGAGAAGACACATTTTAGTGTGAAGCATACAAAAACGTTGTTGTTTTTGAACAATGCCATTAAGAAAATGAAAGTGGTGCCAATCTTTTGACTTTAAGTGACCAAAATTCATGTACATTTATTGTCTTTCTTCTTTCTTTAAAAATCTTCACTACATATCTTTCACAACTTCTACATCAATGTGATTTTCAAACTCACCATGGAGACCCATAAGCTAATTATACCTTTCATTCTTCTTCTTTTCATCCCTTGTTCATCTTCTTTCACTCCCATAGATAACTACCTTCTTAGTTGTGGATCACACAACAATGCTTTCCTCTTCAACCGCATCTTCATGGGTGATTCCTCCAACCAAGGTTCAAATTTTCTCTCTGCAGATAAATCCATTTCCCTCACCAACCAAAACCCACCTTCAGATTTGTCCACTTTGTATCATAGTGCTAGAGTTTTCACCATCTCAGGGAGCTACAGGTTCAACTTGAGGAAGAACGGTACCCACTTGGTTCGTTTTCATTTCTCACCTTTTAAGGCTCAAGGGTTTGATCTAAAATTTGCAAACTTCAGTGTTTTGGTTGATGGGAATTTGGTTCTGAGCAATTTCAAGCCAAGTAATGGTACACTGCTTAAAGAGTATATTTTGAAGATAGAGTCAAATTTACTTGAAATTGTAATAAGGCCAGAAGGTAACTCTGGATTTGGATTTGTTAATGGTATAGAGGTGTTTACTGCTCCTGATGATTTTGTTATAGATTATGGAGCTAGGTTGGTTGGTCCTTTTGGTGTGGAGGAGTACAAGAATCTTTCGTCTCAGGTTTTAGAAACTATCCATAGGATTAATGTTGGGGGTGTGAAATTAACTCCTTTTAATGACACCCTTTGGAGGAATTGGATTCCTGATGAGGAATTCTTGGTTTTTAAGGATGCAGCTAAGCCTGCAGTCACCACTCACCCACCAAATTATCAAAAGGGAGGCGCAACTCAAGAGATCGCGCCTGATAGTGTTTATATGACTGCCCAGGAGATGAATAGGGATCACTCCATTGTGGCTTCACAGTTCAACATAACCTGGGATTTTCCAGTAGCTCCGGGTGGTGTTCGACACTTGGTTCGGTTGCATTTCTGTGATATTGTTAGTCCTGCTCTTAATTTGCTCTACTTTGATGTGTATATCAATGGATATTCTGCATATAAGGATCTTGATTTGTCATCCCTTACATTGCATGTGCTTGCATCTCCGGTCTATGTGGATTTCGTTGCAGATTCTGATGATTCAGGTGTTATTAGAATAAGTGTTGGCCCTTCTGGTTTGAGCAGTTCTATGAGGGTGAATGCCATATTGAATGGTGCAGAGATAATGACGATGGTGGATGTTATGGATTCACATGTTTCTCCTAGGAAGAAAAGGTTGTGGATTTTGGTTGGTTCAATTGTTGGAGGAATTGTTGTTTTACTTTTAGTTGTAGCTGCTTTTTTACTTGCCCTCAAATGCAGGAAGAAGAAGAAGAAGAAACCAAAGCAACGAATAGTGGAAAATGTAAGATGGACGCCTTTACGTATGTTTGGAGGGAGTTCACTCAGTAGAATGTCTGAAGGGACAGCTTTTCCCTCTCCTGGTTCTTATGGATATTTTGACTTGAGAATTCCTTTTGCTGATATAAAATTAGCAACAAAAAATTTTGATAGAAGTTTAATTATAGGGTCTGGTGGGTTTGGTATGGTTTACAAAGGGGTCCTCAAAGACAATGTGAAGATTGCAGTCAAGAGAGGCATGCCTGGATCCAGACAAGGCCTTCCAGAATTCCAGACTGAAATAACAATCTTATCCAAAATTCGTCACCGCCATCTTGTTTCCTTGGTTGGATATTGTGAAGAAAATTCAGAAATGATACTTGTCTATGAGTATGTGGAGAAAGGTCCACTTAGAAAGCATCTATATGGTTCAGCAGGATTTGAGCCTTTGTCTTGGAAGCAACGTCTTGAGATATGCATTGGTGCAGCTCGAGGTCTTCACTATCTACACACTGGTTTTGCACAAGGAATTATCCACCGCGACATTAAATCAACCAACATTTTACTTGATGAAAATTATGTGGCCAAGGTTGCTGATTTTGGCCTTTCAAGATCTGGACCTTGTATCAATGAAACCCATGTGAGTACTGGTGTGAAAGGTAGTTTCGGTTATCTTGATCCGGAGTATTTCCGAAAGCAACAACTCACAGATAAATCAGATGTTTACTCATTTGGGGTTGTGCTTTTTGAGGTTCTTTGTGCCAGACCTGCTGTTGATCCACAACTTGATAGGGAACAGGTGAACTTAGCCGAATGGGCACTTGAATGGCAGAAAAAGGGCATGCTGGAAGATATTGTTGATCCTTATCTTGTTGGGAAGATAAAGCAATGCTCGTTGAAGAAATTTGGTGAAACAGCAGAGAAATGTTTGGCTGAATATGGTGTTGATAGGCCAACTATGGGTGATGTATTGTGGAATTTGGAATATGCACTTCAACTCCAAGAAAGGGAGTCATATGATGATAGCTTCGCTCATGGAGCAGTGAATGTGACAACTACAATAATTCCTGGGAATCCTCCTAGCAACCTAAGAAGAGAGGGAGATAATGATAATGCTTATTCAGACATAAGTGCCACCGAAGTCTTTTCCCAATTAATGACCACTGAAGGGAGATAGAGATAGGAACATCCTGCAAATAGAGGCAAATTTTTGCTGATGTATAGAAAGGTTCACATGGGAAAAAGGTATCATGTAGTTAGTACCTATGCTTCAATAGTTATTTTCTTTATACTTTTTATTTTTGTTTAAGAAATTTCATGCGCCAAAACCGATATTAAATTTACCTTTGGAAAGCAGTGATAGGCGAGGCTTATTGATAGTTTCTTATAAATGGTTGGATGATCTTTTTTTTCATGTTATCTGACACTGGAGAGATGCTCTGTAACTATCATAGTATAACCTTGTCCTTTTATGTTATGTAAGTTTGTGTGTTTATCAAGAGATGAATTAGTATAAGTTGTAATAAGCTATCAGTTCCCTCCTATTATTAATTTTTATTTCTTCCGTTTCTGCTTCATTGAAAGATCCAGTATTGAAATAGGTGTCATTTTTCTTAAAATTTTGTTATTTACTTATGTTGGACTTCTATGAATACATTTGAGGAAATAAAATGCACCATGCTCTTCATAAAACTATATGTGATACAGTCATAGTTTTCTTTTAAATTTTCATGAGTGGCAAAGATGGATACTGTAGAAGCAAGGTTGAATATTTGATATCGATACATAGTTTCTTTATTTACCTAATCTCACACATAAATTTTCCACCATATAAGACTGGCTAAATGATATAACCATTGCCTTCGATAAACTCTTATAAACAGGTTTTCCTTTTCTGTTAAATTGTGTACAAGATTTATGTTACTGTGATAAGCATGAAAAAGATCCCCAAGTAGCAAATACTTGCATTGGGCTGATCAATAAATCAAAGTTTAGGCATTTCCAAAATCATTGGCCTGCATCACTAGCATTTTTTCTAATTTGATACCTAACATAAATAATGAGAAATATTGACCCATGATTTAGAGACTCTGATATCATGTCATGAATCAACTATCTCAAAAGATTAAGCTGTGGGTGAAAGCACATGAATAATATCTACTAATAATAATACATAGAAAACCTAATTGTACTGTTAAGGCTCCTAAAAGAAAATCATAAAAAAATTACTCCATTCATGTTCGTTATTTGCTATGAGATGTTGTAGTTGCTTTTTTTCGGATCAGAATCTTGAAGAATATTACATTTGGCATGTCAAAGGAACTCATTCAACAACCACCAATATATTATTTCATTTGAAGAATGTGTAAAAATTCGTTTTCAGGTAAAAAAGGGTCAAAGAATGCTTTATTCAGTCATAGATTTTTCAAAGTGAATGCCCTACGTACCCACCCCATTTCTTCTCATTCCACTACTTTACAGAAAGAGAAAGCAAACTCCTTTCAAGATAAGATTGGAATGATGCATAGAAGAGTTAAACACACATAAACATTAAGGGTACCCGCAATCATAGGTTCCTCAAAAGCTTAGATAAGGTTGCCTTCCACCATTTTTCCATTTTACCTCCTTTTTTTTATTTATTTCAGAGCTTTTGTCAACGAGGCCAATCAGCTGCTATCACTATTTTATTCAGATTGAAAAAAAATAATCTCAAATTTGAGGATTATTTATAACATAGAATTTAAATATTCAAATTTAACAAATTTTTATTAAAAAAACTATTTATTACATTGAAAATGCACAAGTATAATAAATATTTTCTAATTGTAATAATACCTAAATAAAAAAGCATAAATGGGGAATGCCTATGTATAAGAGTGACAATAGACACTTTCTAAACTTAGTTTTAAAAGTTGATGTTGAGAAAACCGGAAAAAAAATGTTCTATTGATTTGTTTGTAAAAATTTAAGAAATACTAATTACTATAATTTCATTAATATCATTTTGCTCATATATAAATTTGAAGGGTAATAAATAAAATATTTATGCTAGTTGAGTAGTTTAAAGGTCAACAGAGACTAACTAATAAAAATAAATTAAAGAAATTTCAAATATTTCTAACAAAATAAATAAATATTTTATTTTATGTATTTTTTTAGAACTAATTTTGGCAATGTGGGGGCAATAGTATATTGTCCCCCCTTCCTTTCTAAGAGCTGCACTGTCAAAACTTATGGAGGCTGTGGTCCACTGGTCTTAGGGATGGCAATGGGTAGGGTATGGGTAGGGTACTACAGTACCCATCCCCATATCCGCGTTTTAAAAAAATACCCGTACTCAGCCCCATACCCGCGTGGGTATGAACATTAATCCCCATACCCGTACTCTCTGGGTACTCGCATACCCGTCTTATACCCATTACCCGCGTTTGTTTGAGAAAAAAATATTTATAAAAAAAATATGTTTATATAATTTCACATAAGTGACATAATAATACAAAAATTCAATATGTAGTTGTCGAACAAGGTACAAATATAGATAAAAAAACAAATATTCAAATATCATAAATGTTAAATGTATCTTAATATAATAATTTTCTAAATTAAAATTCTTAGAAATAATAAGCAAAACTAAACACACAAGTTATTTGTCAGTGATAATCCTATCTTGTGTGAGATTTGATTGCTTAGTAATGTCAGAACGATAACAAAATAGATCTGTACAATGGTTGTCCTTCGTGTGGGATCACTTAGTAACCTCTTGTGACGGCATTAACAACTAACTCTAATGAATAACATTTCATAGTTATTAAGTTTTAGTGAGACAGACATTGAGAATGAGAATAGAGTTAGAGTAGAGAAGTTCAATACTAACAATAGAAAATTGATACATAAAATATTTTTTTTAACTTTTAAATTTTAAATTGTAAGAAAAATAATAGATTTAATTAAAATAATATAATATAGTTAATATATATATATATATATATATATTAATACTAGTATTTTTTAACTCATATACTATACGAAAGTATTTTATCAAAAATATAAATTTTTGAAAAATTATTTTAGTAAATTAAATATTTCTAATGTATATAAATTTAAAAAAAAAGAATTTGAATAAAAGATAAATAGTTACAATAAAATTTTATAATAAAGAAATATACGTGTATATTAAAAAAATTATACTTTTTTATCTTAAAAAAATTAACAATAATTTTTTATATTTATATCTTTTCAAAAACTTCTTTGAATGTGAATAAATAGTAAGAATAATATTATTTAGATTCAATAAATTATAGTTGTGCGTGTAATACATATGTTGCATAGAAAAATATTATTTTAAATTAAAATATAAAAATAAAATTTAAATATTATTAATAAATAATAAGTTTACGGTAATAGTAGGTGATTATAAAATTTATAAAATATTTATAATATATTTATTATTTATCATTCACTTTATGATTAAAACATTAATATAATTTTATTAACAAAAATATTTTATGTGTGTCATATATAAATAATATTTTAAAAAAAGTAAATCTCATATTAACTATGTAATAATTAAATTGTGTTAGCCGAATTAAATGATATAAAATAGTAAATAAATTTTTCTATTAAAAATATAAACCAAAATAAATTTTTTGGTTTACTTTATTATTAAATATATTTTTATATTAATCTTATATAACTTCACATAAGTAATATAATAATACAAAAATTCAATTCATAATTGTAGAATAAAGTTCAAGCATATATATATATATATATATATATATATATATATATATATATATGCGGGTATGGGGCGGGGTGGGTACTTAGATACCTATACCCGCACCCATCCCTATTAAAATTTGCGGGTTTTTACCCACACCCATATCCGTACCCGTATAATGGGTAAATACCCTACCCATTGTGGATAAATTTTGAGGGTGCCCATCGGGTACTTTACCCATTGCCATCCCTAACTGGTCTGTTGAAACATGTTTACTCTCTTACAAACATAACAACATATCATACTCAATAATATAATTTTTATTCTCCAGAATATCTGATCAGTTAGAAATAAACATAATAAGATAATATAATATATTTAACATATTGTTTTATACACATCAAATTTAAAATAAAATAAAAAATATCTTATTCTTATCATATTGTATTCTTATCAAACTTTATATTTTATTATTTTCTGATTCTACTGTATTCACCAATAAGCCAATGAAGCATGTAATTTATTCTTGTCGTGCACATCATGAAAAGGAGAGATCTTTCAATATGCATTTAGAAGTCATAATAGGTTATCCATCTTAACATCCCATAGAAATTCACCAATTGGTCATGTCTTACAACTAATTAATAGATAGTGTTACTTAATAATCCAATAAACAAGCAATTTTATATATCTGATTTTCACATACATGCTATCATGTTAACTGATATCAGAAGATTCCTCACTAAACAATGTGTTATGAGGATATGTGACATCAATGAAGATGCTAACTCTAGTGCATATAAAATGGCCTTTATTGGGACAGCTAGCTCTGCACTTCACTTGTGGCTATTGGACCAAAATGAGGTGGCTCAATCTCTTTTCCATGTCAGTCTTTAATGCCTATTTTGTAGTTCAGTTTTCTTTTTATTTCTCCTTTTCCTCTCAGGGATTTTTATGAGATAATTTTGTTCGAGGGAGAACCCACACTATTTTTTAAACATGTGTTTAAAGATATATAATAAAAATTTAATGAATATTATTTTTTATTAAAGTTTATAATATTGAATATAATTTTAGAATATATATGATTTTTATAAAAAAAAATTTGTGTATAAATTTCCAATGCTATTTTTTAAGCACGCATTAAAAGCAGTGATAATGAACTAATTAGTTTTCTTAACCTCAACTTTGGAAAATGAGCTTAAAAGTTTAAAAGTAGTAATTTTTTTAAAAAATATTTATAAAATTTACGTAAAATTTTAAAAAATTAACAATAATAAAAATTTATTGAAAAAAGTAACTTTTATAACTATAATATAATAAATTTATTCTTTCTCAATCAAACTTTACTATTTTTAAATGTTTAAATTCAATGTTAAAGAATGATGTTAACAAAATCTAAATTTTACTAAAAAATTATTTATTATATGAAAAATGCAAAAACGCAATAATTTTTTTTAATAAAAATGTACTTTTAATTTTTTATATTTAATATCAACCTTAAAATAAGGATAATAAAATTGTAAAATAATAATGTAATATAAAATAACATTTTTTTTCTATACATCTGTGTTTAAACAGAAATAAAAGAGGCAACCAAATGAATCCCTGAATTCTGGGAGAGCTAATATGTTTGTGGGACAATTAGTGTCCCTTGAATTCCAGGACGAGTTTTATAGGAAAAGTTTATGAATAATGTTTATTCTCAATCCTAAGTATATAAAAATAGTAACTTGAATTAAAAAAATATTATATTTATCATAATTATTTATATTTTAAAGATAATAAATATAAATTTATTATTTATTTTCAGTTTTAAGAATTAATATATATATATATATATATGATTATATATATATATATAAATTTAAACTACACAATTATATATATGGTAAAAATATTTAAAAAATTATGTAATTACTTTAAAAAGTTAGGCACCTTTTTAAAAAATTCACTCGAC